CTCAGCTACATGCCCTATCCCAGCCCCAGGAAAACACACCCTAGTCCTACGTTTCCTATCTCTTGTACAAAAAGTCCTATCTAAAAACCTCACCTGGCTGTCCCCAACTACCACGACCTTACCTCTGGGCAGGGTTTGTACAGCTGCCCTTTCCTCTACCTGCACCACACTTTCCTGCCTCTTCTCTTCCTCGCCAGCTTCCTCCAGCACCTGGTAGGGGTTCCTACATTCCACACCCTGGTCAGCTTTCCTGAGCCTGACCCTAGTCCCCTTGGAGACAACCACTCTCCACGCCTGCTCCTCCTTCGCAGATGTCCTGCTAAGCAGGACGCCTACCTCAAGGAGTTCAGTCCTCAGGGCTTCATTTTCCCCCTTTACAGTGTCTACCATATCCATATCCATTTGTTGGCCTTGAACATGACTTTTCAGACGGAATACGATTGAGGTTTGAATTAGACTTATTAATATATTGATGAGGTTGCATTCAAATCCATGCTTCACCTCTCGAGAGCACTGTCAGACTGTGAACCTGTTGACGTGACAGTTGCGGGCTACCATGTGTCCACACGATACCAAACTAGCAAAGAGTAGCTGTCCAACAGTAAACTCAAACTATCTGACAGTTACTCTCAGAGCCATGTTCACTTGAGACTAACGCTGTCGACAGCACTCTACTCTCAAGTGGAAACGGGCCCTTAGACCTTTTTTAGAAGTGTCTAGACCCAAGAAATATTTAGCCCGAAAACTCAGCCCTACATGAAACCAAAAGCCATATCCGTCTATCATAGTAGTAGTAGTAGTAGAGAAACATCCCCCTGCAAGTGAAGATGAAGGCATCAGGTTCCAGGGTGACTATATCCCACCAAATGTTGTCCTGTTCGAGAAAATAACAGGAGAGATGGTGTGGAAAAAGGCACTGAAGACTCGAGGAGGAGCCGGCCCTTCAGGTCTGGATGCAAACGGTTGGAGAGTCATCCTCAGCACTAACAAGTTTGGCCCTGTAGCAAGCGAACTCTGCATTGCCATTGCCACCCTTGCAAGAAAGCTTGCATCCTCTTGCTGCCATCACCTCCAGGCTCTGACGGCCTGTCGCCTTATTCCTCTGGAAAAGAATCCAGGATGTAGACCTATAGGGGTGGGGGAAGTGCTGAGGCGGATCATCGGAAAGTGTATAATGGAGGTGGTAAAGGATGATGTCAGGGCAGCAGCAGGGAACCTACAAGTGTGTGCTGGCCACCAGGCTGGTGGGGAGGCGGCCATTCACGCCATGAGATTGATATTGGAGCAGCGTGATTGTGAGGCCGTTCTCCTGGTGGATGCTTCAAACGCATTCAACATACTTAACCGCAAGGCGGCACTGCACAACATCAAGATCAAGTGTCCTAGCTTTGCGATGTATGTTGAAAATTCGTATAGGAATCCTTCAGACCTCTACGTAGTAAACAACAAGGCTCTACGAGGTGATACCATCCTACAGTCGACCGAGGGAACAACACAGGGAGACCCCGTTGCAATGGCAATGTATGCAATAGGCCTATCAGTGCCCCAACAAGAAATAAAGTATGAAACAACTGGGGTCAAACAAGTGGCATATGCTGATGACCTCACAGGAGCAGGAAAAGTGGAGGACATCAAAACGTGGTGGGACCTGGTAACATCGCGAGGTCCACAAATAGGGTACCACCCAAACGCCAGCAAATCCTTCCTCATCGTGAAGCCAGATCATTATGATCGGGCTGTGGAGGTTTTCGGCGAAAGTGAGGTCAAAATAACTAAGGACGGCCAAAGACATCTAGGCGCAGTAATTGGCACTACGGACTTCAAGACCCAGTACGTAGGGGGAAAGGTGAATGAGCGGGTTAGCGAAATCCATGCTCTATCGGAGATTGCTAACACAGAGCCACATGCGGCCTTTGCAGCATTCACACATGGAGTCAAGCATCGTTGGAACTACCTGATGCGTACCATCCCTGAGATCCGACCCCTCCTCCACCCTTTGGAAGAAGCAATCAGTGTCAAGTTCATTCCCAAACTAGTGAAACACCACGACTTAACCCCAGTAGAAAGAACACTTCTTGCACTTCCACCAAGACTGGGAGGGATGGGACTAACCAATCCAGAGGAGATTGCTGACTCTGAACATCAAAATTCACTTAAGCTCACGGCAGCCCTCACTGACCACATAATCGCCCAGAACGCAACAGGGGAAGTGGACACCAGCGAAGTTAATAAGATCCGTAGGTCCATTACAACAGATCGGCAGAACTGCCAAAATGACATGTTGCAGCAACTATTGCTGCTGGTTCCAGAAAATTTGACAAAAAAAGTAGCTATAGCGCAGGAGGTGGGTGCCTCGAACTGGCTAACTACGTTACCGATAAGGGCAAATGGTTTCAGCCTTAACAAACAAGAATTTACAGATGCCATTGCTCTAAGGTACGGTTGGCCAGTAGATGGTTTGCCCTCCCAATGCGTGTGTGGCTATTCCTATGATGGCGATCACGCCATGGTTTGCAAGAAGGGGGGCTTCATATGCATGAGGCATGACGAGGTAAGGGATCTCACAGCAAATATGTTGAAGGAAACCTGCCGGGACGTCATGGTAGAACCGACCCTCCTTCCACTGGATGGCGAGAGCCTCCAACACAGGACTTCAAACACATCTAACGAAGCCCGTGTGGACGTCAGTGCTCGAGGATTCTGGACGCGGGGACAGCGAGCTTTCTTCGACATCAGGATTTTTGATCCCATGGCCGTTTGTCACAGTAACCTAGCTCTCGATGCTGCGCATAGGAGGAACGAGAACGACAAGAGAAGGGCATATGGGGAGAGAATTCAAAATGTTGATCAAGGCAGCTTCACTCCTCTAGTGTTCACAACCTCTGGTGGGATGGGCCCAAGTGCAAGATGTTTCTACGCCAGACTCGCGGAGCTGATCTCCGAACAGAAGCAGCAGCCCAGAAGTTATGTCACAGCCTGGATGAGATGTCGACTGTCCTTCTTTCTCCTTCGGTCGGCTTTGCTCTGCCTCAGGGGAACGAGAGCTTCTGCCCCTACTCCGACAACTGCTGCAGATATCGACTATGAGGCTACAGTCACTGAATGCCGCATGGATCTGCGGCTCAACTAATTTAACACAGATAGGATAGTTTCTTATGTATTAGGATATTTAATATTAAGGTAAATAAATGGTGGCGAAGGTGTGGCTATTGGGGGAGGCTGGAGGCCACGTTTAATTATTAAAAAAAAAGAAAAAAAAATAAGTGTGGTGGTTGCGGTATGGTTTTAGTAAGTGTGGTGGTTGTGGTAGTGTTTGGTTAGTGTGGTGGTTGTGTTAGTGTTCAGTAAGTGTGGTGGTTGTGGTAGTGTTGGGGTAAGTGTGGTGGTTGTGGTAGTGTTTAGTAAGTTTAGTGGTTGTGGTAGTGTTTAGTATGTGTAGTGGTTGTGGTAGTTTTTGGTAAGTGTGGTGGGTAGTGGTAGTGTTGGTGAAGTGTGGTAGTTGTGGTAGTGCTTGGTAAGTGTGGTGGCTGTGATAGTGCTTGGTGAGTGTGGTGGTTGCGGTATGGTTTAAAGTGTGGTGGTTGTGGCAGCGTTTGCGCGTGGTGGCCAGGCAGTGTTTAGTGGGCGTGGTGGTTGGTGGCAGTGTTGGGGGCAAGTTTGGTGGTTGTGGCGTTTAGCAAGCGCATATCATTGCAGCAGTGTTGCTGCTGTGGCATCGCAGGTGCGTTTGCGCGTGGTGGCTGGTGGCAGTGCCGATGCGCGTGGTGGTTGTGGCAGCGTTTGTCAAGCGTGGTGGCTGGTGATAGTGCCTGCAAGTGTGGTGGTTGTGGTAGTGTTTAGTAAGTTTAGTGGTTGTGGTAGTGTTTAGTATGTGTGGTGGTTGTGGTAGTTTTTGGTAAGTGTTGTGGTTAAGGTAGTGATAATAAGTGTTGTGGTTGCGGTAAGGTTTAGAAAGTGTGGTGGTTGTGGTAGTGTTCGTTTACGTGTGGTGGTTGTGGTAGTGTTTGGTAAGTGTGGTGGTTGTGGTAGTGTTTAGTAAGTGTGGTGTTTGTGGTAGTGATGGGATAAGTGTGGTGGTTGTGGTAGTGTTTAGTAAGTTTAGTGGTTGTGGTAGTGTATAGTATGTGTGGTGATTGTGGTAGTTTTGGGTAAGTGTGGTGGTTGTGGTAGTGATAATAAGTGTTGTGGTTGTGGTATGGTTTAGTAAGTGTGGTGGTTGTGGTAGTGTTTGGTAAGTGTGTTTTTTGTGATTGTGTTTAGTAAGTGTGGTGGTTGTGGTGGTGTTTGGGTAAGTGTTGTGGTTGTGGTAGTGTTTCGTCGGTGTGGTGGTTGTAGTAGTGTTTGGAAAGTGTGGTGGTTGCGTTAGTGTTTGGTAACCATGGTGGTTATGGTAGTGTTGGGGTAAGTGTGGTTCGTTGTGGTTGTGTTGGTGTAAGTATGTTGGTTGTGTTAGTGTTTGTTAAGTGTGGTAGTTGTGGTAGTGTTTGGTAAGTGTTGTGGTTAGCGTAGTGTTGTGGGTAAGTGTGGTGGTTGTGGTAGTGTTTAGTAAGTTTATTGGTTGTGGTAGTGTTTAGTAAGTGTGGTGGTTTGGTAGTGTTTGGTAAGTTTGGTGGTTGTGGTAGTGTTTAGTAAGTGTGGTGGATGTGGTAGTGT